TTAGCTCTGCAAGCTACAGAGTAAGGAGAATGGTGAGGATGGATCAGAGGGGAGACTGGATGAAGACCAATTTATACCACATATATCAAAGATCACAGTTAGTTTTCTTGACTCTCTATTATGTTTTATTTGGATTTGTCTTGCACCAAGAACAATCTGTGTGTGTGTGTGTGTTTTCTTTTACTATGGCTTTATTAATATCTGGTAGGGTGAATCTGAAAATTTTTCTGTTGTTTTATAATTATCTTAGCTGTTAATAAACATTAACTCTTTCACATAATTTTGATATTAAAAAATTTTATTTTTCCTAATCTGCTAGCATTGTATTAGAATTATATTGTCTATTATTAATATGAGGTGATTTGTCTTTAAAATGTTAATATTTCCCCTCCCTGAACATTATGTAGTTGTCCAATTATTCAGGTATATAAAAATATTTTTAAAACTCCAAAGAGATCTCATGCATTATTAAACTGGAGAAAAGGAGTACTATTTTAAAAATTTATTTGTATTTATGTGTTTTCTTAACACTTTCTATGTAAGTTATATCATCCACATTTATTCATTTTGTCCTTTTCTAATACTTATACTATACTGACATTTTATTTTATTATTGTGTTAGATAAAAACTTTAGACTTAAAAAGAAAGATTCCAAAGGTTTCTTTCCCCACTAGATCTATAGAGATGTCTATAGGTAGCCTTTATCAAGATAAAGACTATCCTTTCTATTTCCATTTTCACAGACTGTAATGATCATTCACAATCTTCCCTGATATAATATTAAGACACTTTATTGTAATTTTTCATAATAGAAAATGTAAATGATTTAAGTTACATGATACATCATACACAACATCATTTCACATTCTATTTTCAAGGAGTGGCAAGTCAAGTTGAAACTTGTGCTTGCTTAAGAATTGTTGTTAAATATTAATAGCAAAAATGAGTTTGAATAAACAGTCCCACACACTGGGTGGGGTTGCCACCTTTGGATTTCTTTTGTGAGGGAATATACATACATCTTAGACTGGGAAAATAAGCCATAGCACACAGGCATTCATTGGGGTGTGTGGGTGTTTAAGAGTGTAGAGAGAGTACTTCCAGAACATCTGGTAGGAATCTAGGTCTTTAACAATCTTGAAAAGTTGACCTACCAGTCTTGAAATGTTTGTCCTTGGTCTTCTCTGATCTCCTTTAAGAAAACCTTAAAGATAAAAATAGATATTGAATTGGTATAAGTAGTGTTTATAATATATTTACATTAAAGAATAACAAGAAGCTGAACAACTGTGTAAGTGCAATCCAAATCCATCTAAGAAAAATAGACAATGAGTTTCACCACTAAACAATATAAAAAGTTTGGTGGGACAACTTTGTACATTTAAGGACTCAAGTTCCTTCTATTTTACCTGGTGGTCCATCATCTTCAACCTATAGCTTCCACTTTAAGGTTCAAGGTCTATATGAGGTAGAGCCATCAGGATGGTATTCAGTCTGGCCCCAAGGAGAAAGAGAAGAAGAAGGTGTGCCTCCTGCCTTTAGGGATTAAGGAAAGTTGTTTACGGTTCTTGCCTACATAGCATTGGCCAGAAGAAAGTCATCCCTAGCTGCAAGGAATCTGAAAAGTGTGCTCTGTTTTGACTGAGTTTCTCCATATACACTGGATATTCTTTACCAAGAACAAAACAGAATTGTTCCTATTCAGTGAAAACTAGTGATTTTTATGATAAGAAATAATTAATATATTTTAGATATTGATCTTTTGTTATTTCTAGGTCTTTCAAATTCTTCTGTATCAGTCTTTCAAATTCTTCTGTATCTTTACTTTCTCTATGTTGTCTATGGATAAACATACTATTAAATTTATAAGAGCTGAATTTAGTATTTTCCATTGCCATTTTATTCACAACTTAAGATATTTTTCTGTCTCTTAATTTCATGAAAATGTATGCCTATAAAATGATGTAACCTTTTGATAGACTTTGATTCTACAGAATTTATAGACTTAGAATCTCCACTTCACCCATGTGATTGTCTCAGCACCATTCATGGAGCAGTGGTGCTTTCCTTACTGATTTGCAAAGCTAGTCCTGTCGTGGACCAGGCCTCCTTTGGTGTTTGGATCTGTTATTGGGATCTCCATTTTGATTTATCTATTTATCTATATCTACACTACTACTACAATTCTTTATCATTATAATAGTTTTATAATAAGTCTTGATATCACTTAACTCAGATTTTCTCACATTTTCTTTTCTTCATAAGAAGAATCTTGGCTCTTTTTTGGACCATCACTGTTTTATGTATGTTATAGAGTCATTGTTTTAAGATTCATAAAACAAAACAAAAAAAAACCCAAAAAGTCAAAATTGTGACTGAAAGTACATTGACTCTATAGAGTATTTTGTATAGACTTGCTATCTTTGTGATACTGAATATTCCAGTCCATAAACACTTGTCTCTGGGATACAGAATAATTATGTAGTATTTTCTGATAGGTACTATTATAATAGTGTCATAATTTTGTTAATAATATTTAAAAAAATTTTGGTACACTCATCCCTGAGGATTTTATATTTTTGTTGCTTTTATTAATTAACAATAGTTTTGAAAAGCTATGTGTGCTAACTCTGTTAACAGAAATGCAAGTAAATTTTAAATAAACACAACATATTTAGAAAAATATGATTTGCTATATAAAAAACACAAGAGAGTATGTACCTAAATTATTATAAATGATAAGAGATTTTAACAAACTAATTAAGACTCAGTTATTAACATTATGTTTGTGAAATTGTTTGTTACATATTGATATTATTTTGGGTTATATGTGTAGGCCTATTGTTAGGATATTTGTATTTTTCTTAATTTAGCCATTACTAATAATGTCACCATGAAGCTTATCATATATCACTTGCTCATACGTCATGTATTTCTTTGATTATATACCCAGATGTAGAATTGCTGCATCATAGGCTATGCGTATTTTCAACTCTAGTGGAAGATGCTAAAGTGCTTCCACAACAGCAGTATCCTCTTACCTGTGGTTTCACTTTCTGCAGTTTCAGTTACCCACGGTCGACTGCAGTCCAAAAATATTACAAGGAAAATTCCAGAAATAAGTTAGTTTTAGAATGAATGCCATTCTGAGCGACATGATTAAATCTTGCACTGACCTGCTTCATCTCACCCAGGACATAAATTATCCTTTTGTACAGCAGATATACACTGTATATGCTACCCACACATTAGTCATTCAGTAGCACTCTTGGTTAATAGATCAACAGTTGTGATATCACAGTGCTTGTTTCAAGTAAGCCTTATTTTGCTTAATAATGGCCCTAAAATGTAAGAGTAGTGATGCTGGCTATTCAGATACACCAAAAGGAAGCCATAAAGTGTATGCATGTATAGGAAAAAATAGTCTATATAGTGGTCAGTACTATCTACAGTTTCAGGCATCGACGAGGATCTTGGAATGCATCTCCCTCAGATAAGGGCGGATGGCTCTATTATCCTACCAATGCATTCAAACCAGCCATGAACATCAGGAATGCCCTTATACCCTATGACACCACATTCTTATCAAAACTGATATTGTCAGCCTTTGTCATTTTCCCCATTCTGGTGGGTGTGGCAATATTACATTGTGATTTTAATAAACATTTTCCTGATTCTTAATGAGGTTCTACATTTTTTCTTGTCTTTACTGATATTTAGATATTTTTTATATTGAAATTGTTCAAGTCTCTGGCCTATTTATCTTTTGGCTTATCTGTCTTAAAAATCATTTGTGTAATCAAAAATTTTTAAATATATATTCAGTTGAATATATATTTAATATATATTTATTCATATTTTATATAAATATGAGCTCTTTTATCAGTTGAAGTTTTACAAATATCTACCCCCCAATCTGTGTCATTGCTTTCATCTGTATTATTTTTTCCAATTCCATTTTCTTTTTAATGGGTAGATTAAACCATTGCATGAGACATCTAATCTTTAACTTTTCTCTCCTTCAATACATTATTTTATATTCTTGTATGGTAAAACACTAATATCAAAACAGAATCAATGTTGATATTTACATGTAGGCACTCCATATTCTAGTAGGTAAACTCTAATATTTTATTTATTGACATATTTGAGATCCTTCATGTATCTGACTTTGCTTAACTGTTGAATATATGAAACCAAATATATTTGTATGTCCCTCAATCCACCATGCTAACGCCTATCTCCATATCTTAGCAGTGTCCTTTTTTTTTTTTTTTGTATCCAAGATTTCTAGAAAAAAAAAACCAACTTGTTACTAAGAGTTTATTGGGGGGGTGCAATTTAGGCACCAAAAGTGAGGGGGGGGAATTACAAAATAAAACAAAAAAAGGAGTGGCATTTATCTGCTTGCTTATTCTTATTACCTGTTAGCATCCCTTCATACATGAGTGTTTTTAATTAGGCCTTCTGGAAAGCCACTGAGGAATCTAGATTCCACCTCCCTGATGTGACATTTTCTCTGAATGTGGAAGTAGTTGGTGAGGCTAGAAATTCCATGGATTCAGGCTGGTCTGTCCCTGCCCATAACAGTGAGCTTGTCAATGTTTTGCTAAAGCTGGCCTATCCCCCATAGAAGACACGCAAGTGTTTGCTTTAGGAAATGAGGCAATTTCAAAGGCAGAAGCCAGGGCTCTCCACTGAGCAACTGGCCCAGGCTGAAGGACAGAATGGACCGAGTGAATATGGGGATGTGCATAGCTGGATTCCTTTGCTCTCTGGTCTAAGGCAAAGAGCCATGGTAAGAGCACAGGAAGGAAAGATAAAAAGAGATCATCTCATGGGTCTGACATTTGTGGTTTGACTAAGTCATTTGGTTGCATATCAAAAGAAGTTCTCTCGAAAAGGCAGGATTTCAAAATTATCTTCGTGTGTGTGTATTTTACCATGATTCTTGCTGCCTGATCTCACAAATGAAATGCTATCTCATTTTCCAGCTGTGATGGAGCCTTCATTTTCCTATGCATCTGGATACTTTGTGGCCATTCTGCTCATACAGATGGTGCTCACCTCAGGTAGGGACACTTGTTTCTTTTTCATGGTGTGTCACATCAATAAAGAAAGATAACGGAGATAAATGACACTGAAGGAAATGAAGTTTTCTCACTGACATTGCTCAGGTTCCACCTTTTATGTTAAAGTTTTGAGGGTATAAATGAATCTCAAAACAACTTATGATTAAGAAATGCTATTTCAGTGACTGTCTTTCTCAGCCACGAGTCCATGCTGCAGAACTACACTGATGTGCCTTGGAGAAGAGACAGATAACTATGTACTGCCTCCCCCTGGGAGGCTCAAATTCTCACTGGCAAAAATCATAATGAATATATCCCTTATATTTAAGAAAAAACATAATCATTTATGTGACTATAAGTTTAGTTTAGAATTATAAGTTTAGTAGGACCTCAGATAAAGATGTTGGTGTGAGCTGGATCTGTCCACAAAGTTTTCTTTGAGCTTTAAGTCTGATAATTCAGAATCCTTCCAGTGAGAAGGATAAACTGGTCGGCAGAGACAGGAATGACTCTGGTGGAGTTGAAAGGAGCAAAAACTCAGAGTAGGGAAGGAGTTGTGTGACAGTCACCTGTAGCTTCATAAGTCTCTCTCACCCCTTTAGTAAGTATTTACAGAATGTCTAATGTGTACAGGTAATGTTTTACACACTGGGAATAATAAAGAGAAGTTAAAAATGGAATAAGACAAAAGTCTGCAGTTGCATGACTTATATATCAGTGGCCCAGGAAAGAAAATAAAGACAGAAATAAAAATAGCATGTAGTCATATGTAATATGAAGACATGTTTAGGTATGATTAGGGGAAATGTTAAATGGGTGAGCATAACAAATTTCTCCAATGAGTTGCCATTTAAGCTGGGACTTGAGAGACAATGAGGCAGAGACTGGAGTGCTGCTTTCAGAGGGAAGGTACCTCGGAGAGCAGCTAAGTCAGAAAGGACTTGGCGTCAAGAACCAGAGAGAAGGCCAATGGGTCTAGGGCAGAAGGATGTAAGTGAAGCATTCTTCTGTGAGCTTCAAATTAAACTTCGGTCTCTGACTTTATCCACAGAGCAATTCACTGTGAATACCCCCAGCAGACACCAGGTGGTCATGGTAGGTGAACATGCTGAGCTCAGCTGCCAGCTGTTCCCCCCACAGAGTGCAGACCACATGCAGGTGGGCTGGTATCGAGATCACTATCAACCGGTTTCCATTTACAAGAAAGAGGACGAACTCTCCGGAGCAAACATTCATAACTATGAGAATCACACAGTGATCCTGAAAGAGGCCTTGGGAGAGGGCAAAATGACCCTCAGAATCTACAAAGTCAGTGTTTTTGATGGGGGACAGTACCACTGTTTTTTTAAAGATGGTGATACCACTGAAGAGGCCACTGTGGATCTGAAGGTAGCAGGTAATGACAGAGGAGTCATCTTCAGGTTTCCTTGGCAGTGCTGCTCTGGACTCAGGATCCAGAATTCAGGAATGCTGGGCCGTGAGGGAAAGATCTCTTTGCATTTAAAAAAAATTATAACTTTTAAATAAAATGAAATAATATAATTTATAGAAAAATACATAGAATAATATAATTACAAAGATACTTAGTTAACAATTGGTCATAGTTACTTCAGATGAAGTAAAATCTCGTTTGTATTCATCAATGGTGCCATGCACTTTTTTCCATTTCCAAAAACTAAGCATTAAACTCATATTGTCTCATTTGGTTTACATATCTATTCATAAATATAGATAGTATTGTTTTGTGTGTTTTTAAATTTTGCACAATAATATCATTATACACACTCTATTGATATGATTATACTCTCAGTATTTTAGTTTTGTTATTAGTCTATACTTATTTAAATAAATACAATCCATTTTTTAACTGGAGTATTCCATGTCATAAATATGTGACTATTGGTTACGTATGCCCATGTCATTAGACATTAAGGTAGCAGACAATTTTCTGTTTCTTCATTAAACTGTCATGTTTGTGTGCAAGAGTTCTTTTAAGATCAAGGAACATTTATGGCAGCCACATGGACAAAGCCAAAGGGGGTGGGTCTGAGTGTGGAAGGCAGGGAAGAATGGGGTGGGGAGGGGTGTGGTAGGGTGAAAATGGAGACAACTGTACTTGAACAACAATTTTTAAAAAGATACACAGCTGGTAGTTAAGTTGCAAGGGCATTGTGTGCAAATATCTTTAGATTCCTTTGGCAATTGCCCACTAAAATGATCAGATCAATTTATAACGGACTCAAGTCATGTAAAAGCTACATCTACACCAATATGTGGAATTATCATGCTTTTAAACTTCAGCAATTTTTATTTTAGTTTTGGTTTCCCTTATTAGCAATACATTTTTCTTTGTTATATATTGGAGACTAAATTTTTCCTTTTAGATTCTTGTCTGTTTATTATTTTTGCCCACTTTACATTTGAGTTCTTTAATTTATCTTGTCTATTGCTTTTTTTAAAAGCCTTTTTATTATGACATGTTACACAGATATAATTTTGATACTATCAAATTTACAGTCTACCAATATGATTTGTCATTTGTGTCACACTTAAGAAATCCTTTCCTATCTTCATGTTATAAAAACATTTGCTTCTAAAATTTTAAAGGTCTTTTTTCACATTTGGTTACTGACTTATATGGATTTTGCTTTTGTGCTTTTTATGAGTTAATATATAGACTATTCCCAATAGTTGTAAGGTACTTCTGTCATTTACCAAGACCATACCTCTACATGAATCTTCTCATGAGTTTTTTAAAAATTTTTTGTTGTTCAAGTACAGTTGGATCCAATTTACCCCACCACTTTTCCCTACCCCACCCACCCCCACCTCCCATCCTTGAATCCTACCCCCTTATGCTTTGTCCATGGGTCCTTTATACATGTTCCTTGGAGACTCTCCCCTTTTTTTCCCCATTATCCCTCTCCCTTCTTCCCCTTTGGTTACCATCAGTTTGTTCTTTATTTCAATGTCTCTGGTTATATTTTTGCTAGCTTCTCATGAGTTTTTAATTTGATAATGTTTTATGTCACAGTGATCTAATTATCTATATCTAGTACAGAGTGGGTCAAAGTAGGTTTACAGTTGTGAGTACACAAAACACAGTTTATTCTTGTGTCATTATTTATTAATTATTGTTTTATTTTCCATTCAAACAACTGCAAACCTACTTTTGAGCCACCCTGTACAATACTGTTTTAAGTTATTATAGACGCGTGCCTTGGTATATGATAGGGCATATCTTCCAATCTTGCTATCCTTCTTCAAAACTGCTTTAGCCCTTTGTAGTATAAACTGTTATAACAAAATTAAATCTTCTTAGCAAATATGATTGAAATTGAATTGAACTTATTAACTAGTTTAGAGAGATTTGCCATGTTTCTTTATTACATCAGTGAGCATTTACTCAGCCTTCTTTATTTTATTTCAATTTATATTTCAGTTAAATTTGATATGTTTACCCATAGATTTCTTGCAAAATTCGTTAGTCTTTTTTTTTTTTGGATTATGAGTGAGATGGTATTGTTACAAATTTTAATGATTATGGTCGTGATCATCAAAAACTGATTTGTTTTTTAATTTTTTTGTTTTTCTAAAATGTTATTTACTTTTTGAATAAAAACATCGAGATTCAAAATTTTATAATTTAAAGGATGCATGATGAAAAGTTTCCCATATGCTCTCATCTTATAGCTATGAAGTTCACCTCTCACAGGCAGCTAATGTAGTTAGCTTCTTATATATTACTTCCTTAGATATTTTACATTTATATATATAATATGCATAAACATGCTTATGTAGATGCATATTTAAACACACAGACATATAAGTATATATATACACCTATATATAATATTTATATATATCCATATATTTTTAAATAAATGCTATTATATCATATACATTGTTTTACAATGTGCTTTCTTTACTTAATAACATGAACTAAACAAATTACTACTACTATATAATTTTTTTCTATTCCTTCTCTAGTTGCAATGTTTCCCCTTGTGTAGATGTCTCAGAAATTATTTTACCTAACCTTATTAAAGAATATGAGGGCCCTAGCAGGGTGGCTCAGTGAATTGGAGCATCATTCCATGTACCAAATGTTGCAGGTTCAATCCAAGGAACATAACTAGGTTACAGGCTCAGTCTTCCGTCAGGGTGCATGTGGGTGGCAACTAATCAATATTTTTCCCTCTCACATTGATGTTTCCTTCTCTCTTCCTCTTTTTCTAAAAGATAAAAAAGACTATGCAGACTGCTTTCAAGCCAAGATGTGCAAACAGTGCAGTGCTCTAATAATTTAAGTAAACTACACATATGTAATTTCACATGTGTGCAAGAGTTATGTATGAAAAATTTAACATCAGTTTGTTAAATCACACACACACACATCTTTAGGCTTTTAATTAGACTTCATTGAACCAATAGAACAAATTTGGTATAGGGTGGGGTTAATGTATCAGGATCTTCACTTTTTTGAGCCTCTGGGTTCCAATACTTTGTCTTGAAGAAATTCTCTAAAAGAAACTCAGGATCATTAGCTGTCCTCCCCTGTAAGCAAATGTGCAGAGGCAGAAATGGCTAAGCCCTCCCTGAATTCCAATCCTGTCCCTATTCAGGTCCTGCAATTGCTCTTTATCTTACTAGAGCTTTGAGTGAATTTTAGGAGATGCTTTTTTATTTCATCCATATTTGGGTTGTCTTCAGTGGGAAGATGGGTTCAAATTTTCTTATCATCATGACTGACAGCCCAAAACTCTAAACATTATTTTTAGTTTTAAAAATTATATTTATATATTAGTTGTATACTTATCTACTCCCCAAAAGAACTTGGTTCAGGTCCCATGCTCAAAAAGAGATGATACAAATTTCAGAATAGCCAATATAGAGATGGGGATACCCAGTGGAGTTTGATTTTAATTTTGATTAAAAATGTTTTGTTGAAGTGTACTTTATAATCAGTAGAGTGTGAAAGTGTTAAATGTATAGCTCAGTGAATTTTTACACATGGGAACATCCATTAACTCACCCTTCAGATCAAGATATTGATGATTTCCAGCACCCAGAAGGGTACATCTTTTCTTTCAGAGTCAATACCACTCTCCTCCTACCAAAGTAACTATTACTCTAACTTCTATCATGATAGATTAGCTTTGGGTCTTCTGGAGTGTGATGTAAGTGGGGTCATACATTTAAAAACACAATGGCTCATTATTATTCATTTATGTTATTGTAAATAGCAAGTTTGTCCTTTTGCAATTTTTGTACTATTCAACGCTGTGACTGGAGATTTCAGTTACTTTCAGTTTAGGGCTGTTACGAATAACACTACCATGAACATTCTTGGGCATACTTTCTGGTAGGCACTAGCACTCATTGATACTATCATTTCCATGATAGTTGGTGATGTTGAGCATTTTTGCTTGGATTCCATATACTTGTTGGTCATTTCGATATATAGATATATTAAATCAAACACCTCTTCAACTTTTTTTGCCTATTTTAAAAACCAAGTTTTTCTGTCATACTGATTTCTAATATTTTAAAAAATATATTTTGGACTCAACTCCTTTCTTGGATATACTGTAAATGTCTTCCAGTCTGTAACTTGTTTTTTCACTTCCTACATGTCTTTTGGTGAATAAAAATTATTAACTTTCAAAAAGTCTAATTTATCAATCATTTCTTCTGTGGTTAATACTTTTGGTGCTTTGCTAGCTTGAGTTGGATTGGAGAATTATCCCTACCCTAATTGTGGCCATCACTATTAAACTTATGGTATACTCTATCAGCCACAAAGAATGAGTAGGAACAATTATTTCTTAATTCTTGAGTCCACACCAATAATTAATGTCATTTCTCTCTCTTCCTCCAGCTCTAGGCTTAGATATACAGATTAATGTTCAGGTTTATGACACAAAAGAGCTCATTGTGGAGTGTAACTCAGGAGGGTGGTTCCCACAAGTCCAAATGGAGTGGAGAGACAGCAAAGGGAATGTAATTCCAGCCTCATCAAAAATCTTCTCTGAGGATAGAGACGGATTATTGCACCTGAAGATGAGTGTTCTTCTCCAAAACAGCACCCATGGTCCTGTCACTTGCTGCTTGCTTAACCCAGTTACTGGTCAAGAGAAAAGGGCAGGTATTCTCTTACCAGGTGAGTGTTGTGGCTTGGTCCTATCAAGGAAGAATGGTTTTCTTCAGTGTGACAAACTAAAGATTAAATTAAGTGAAACAATAAATGTGAAATTGCTTTGTAAATGGTGAACTGCTATGGACATATAATATTTAAACCGTATTAAGTGTCTGGGAACAAGGAAAACACCAGATGCTAAGGGGGCTGTGTTTAAGAATGGAAGTTATCACAATAATTAGGGGAAAATCTTTTATTCTGTGTGCTTCTCAAGGCTTCAAAAGTGCTATGTGTCATTTGAGTACTAGATCCACTATTTATAGCTTTGTGAACTTGGACATCACTTAACCTTCAAGACCATTGATTTTTCTCATTTGGAAATGGTAACATATATGTTTTCTTTAAATTTTATATTAAATATTTACAAGTAAAATGTCTTTAAAAGACATATAACAATATGCAGAATTAAGATTGATTTAAAAATTATGGATGTCAAGAGTGGACTTTATCACTACCTTGTGAAGAAATAGACAAAGAAGCCAATTATAAAGATCTCACAACCAATAAGTGGTATATCCAAGATTAGATAGCAACCACCAAGGGTGGTTGTGATCAGAGAGCTTAGAGGCGAAAACTGGCGTGTGCACCAGCTTGCAGTGCCCGCGGCATCATGGATGAGATATGAGACAAATTCACATGGACTACCGAGTCCTGTGGAGGAAAAGGGACCTCACGGCTACTCCCTCAAGGTGGGGGAGAGCCTTAGAATGGCCTGGCCACCCTCTCAAGGGGAGAGCATGCTGACCCTTGCCTAGACAGGCTTTTATTGGGTTTAACTTGTGCAGTAATACAGGTACAGCTCATTAATTATTGTCAGGCAGTAAGGATCAAACAGATAGCATACAAAGAACTATTAGGGCTTCTTCTGAGTCAGGGTCTATCAGCTAAAAAGCTACAAGACTTTGGGAAACAAACTCATTTCCTGCCCAGACCTTTATCATGTAACTAAGAGCATTCTTAGCAAAGCAGGCTTTACGGGATTTTGCATATCCTTTCTTAGGCCTGATCACCCAGGGAGCCCACCCTTTCCAGTACAGGGATGCACTACCCTCTGTCATTGTTTCAGGCTTAAGCCAGGCAGAGGAGGCAGATAGCCAAGGAATTCTTGGAGACTTCTCACAGACAGACTTAGGACTCAGGCGTTGTCAAAGTTGAGGGGTGAGGCAAAGCTAAGTAACTTTAATTAGGTCCAGTTCACGAAGACTGAGCATTGGGGAATTACAAAATGTCCTCTTTCCTCATAGTCATGGAAGAATATTTAGAAATTTGATAAATAAATCTTGAAAGCCCCTTTCTCCTGTTCATCAAAACCTCACTTTTCTTGCTTAGGTCTCTTTGTAATTCAAAATTAACTCCCTGACTCAACTCACAAGTTCAATCCTCTCTTTGACTTCATTGGATACTTACTTTTGGTTTCCCTCTCAACCCTACATTTCTATTCTGAGCCATTCATGAATCTTGGACTGGCCAACCTAATTAGTGTTGTTGAAGCTGGTGTGTAAATGAAGAACCTTGGGTCCCATGCCCTTTTCTTGTTAGTTTTTTTTTATTTGAATAGAAGTCTTTCTTAAAATTAAAAAGCAAATTCTGTCCTGGTGATAGCCAAGTAAGGGATAATTGAGATGTTTTAACAATGGACCTGTTAGTTTTACATGTTAATTTTTGTTGTTCCTAAAATCCATGTGTCCATTAAATTCCAATAGTTTGGTGCCAAACCCCTAGGGTAGCCTGATTAACTTCAATTTGTTTTGTTGTTGTTTGCTACATTGAGATTGTTTATTTTGTGTTTTGCATCTGAAAATTACAATATATGAAGAAAATTGCCTATATTATTCTGCAGTTTTTGTTTATTGCCAAGTTCACCTTCTTAATTCCCTCAGGAACAATGCTTTCTCTTTTCACAGTATGTCATACACAAAGCTTTTTAAACCCAGGTCACCAAGGATTGGTAGTAACAATAGAACAAATGCTGACATTGCATTTCCCCTATTTTCTGAACTTTGAGGAGTTTGAGGAGTTCTTTGCTTTATCACCACTCAGAAATTTGTTACTTTTTAAAAAGTATATTTTTATCAGGACATTGGATATTCACTCCTGGGAGAATTTTTCTGTCACATTGGTCCTAACCTACAGGGCATTAAACACTGGCTGTCAGAAAACTTTTTCAGTTTTATTTCTGGAGTTTCAGAGATCTTACATTTTGTTTAAACTTTCTGGAATTTACCAGGGGCACATCTGATCCAGTTCCACAGCCATTGGCTTCCCTCAACCCCCATATATTGTAGTGCTTAGGACCCTGTCCTATAATTTTCCTCATTTCATAGATTTGCCCCCTTACATTCCATTTACATCTGGAATATAAGGAAAAATGTAGAAAGGTATTTCTCCATTCAATCCTGTTCCATTCTCATCCAATAACTACCAAGTCCTGGGCTTTCCCCTAGTCCATCTTCACTGGCCAGTAGCCCTTGTCAGAGCTCGGAATACATAGTATAGAGTGTAATGGGGGCCATAACTGGAGATCCTGATTTTTTCGCAGCAATATTCCATGCCCACTGGAGTTTTATGATCCTGCTGCCATACTTATCAAGACTTTCTGCTCTCTCTTTCAGATATCCTGTTAAAATCGGAGTATAGGTCAACAATATCCAGCATAAATTCATGGGTCTTCGTATATTTAATCATTGTGCATGCTCTTCTGTGTTTCAGATCAAAAGGTATTTCATTCAGATGTTAAATGCTTAGAAAAGGTTCATACAAAACTATGTGAACTTGTATATTAATGTATCACACAGCTATATTTGCCAAAGAGTGTCTCAATGTCTTGAGTTATGCCTCAGGTTAAGCTGCCATCCTCCCTCCTTATGTGGCTCTTCAGGGGTCAAGCACTGTTGCTGCTACAGTGTCTGTCACCACCCAGATCTCCTGATCCCTTCAGAGCTGGCAATGCTCATTTCCCAGCACTTGGAATCTTAATAATAATAATTGTGTCCTCACTCACAGGCAGCCATGGGCAGTTAGGCGTATCACTCAAATTGTTCAGAATATTTTGATAACAAGAGAAAGAGGAAAATACGTGGATCAATAACCAGATCATTAGTCCTCCTGAATCTTCTCTCAATTCTCTTTTGCTCTTCCTATGAAACTATCCTAAATATATTTTCTTTCTTTCCCAACAGAGGTAGGAAATGAAGCCTCAACTTCAGGAAACTGAGAGCAGAGGGCAGTGCAGGTTATCGGATACCCTTGAAAACAACTCCTTAAGTACTTGACTTTAGGAACTTCAGATCATGCAATATAAATAACCGAAGTGGCAGATTATGACATCAAATACTTGGCATGTAAAATATTTCCTGGAAGAAAAGAGCTGTCATACATCCTAGATTCTTCTGGATGGAGGAAGAGGAGGGTTGGGAGATTTACAGCTCAAAAGACAAAGCGCCTTTTGAGAACTCTCATGACAGTAAGATTTATATATGATTCAGGAAACATAAGTCTAAAAAAGAACAGAAAATTCAACTTGCTCAGCCCTCTACCCAATTTATAAATACCTCTATAATTTTGAATTATTATACTTACCATGTATTAGCATATGTGATACATGATTCGTAGTAAATATCTTACTAACTTATCTAAACCACCCTATATGATACATTGTACTTATTTTCAACATTTCTTCAAATGAAGAAATTAAAGATTAGAATTTTGAGGCACATTGTTCAAGCTCAAACCACTTATAATGGTAGAGCCAGAATTGGAACCTAGATGTTTCAGATGCTTAACACTTTGCACCAACCATCATGCTCTTCTTCCTGTTGTATGGATATCAAGACCATCCTTACATTCTTGCTGATGCAAAGGTCACTAACTCATTAGACAGTTTAACTTATTCATTCATTTATTCAACAAATTTATATTGAGCATCTCCTAGATACCAGTCACTGTTCTAGATAATGGCAATGCACTAATAAAGGAGGGAGCCAAAAGCCTTTGCCTTCATAGGTCTTATTTCTATTGCAACAGGAGAAAATTCTTTTTGGAATTTTCTTGTTGGTAATTGCTGGTATTTTTTTTTTACTTAACAAACATACAGTAGTTTTCTTTCTCTGACTTATTTTTGACTTTAAAATGTTTTCCATTTTTCAATTACTGTTGACATACAATATTACATTACTTTCAGATGTACAACCAAATGATTAGACATTATAAACTTACTAAGTGATCACCCCAATAAATCTAGTACCCATCTGACACCAAACATAGTTATTATAATATTATGAACTCTATTTCATATGCCACACTTTAAATCTCTGTGACTATTCTGTAACTACTAATTTGTACTTCTTAATCCCTTCACCTTTTCAACCCCCTAAACCTCTCTCTGATCTGGCAACCATCAAAGCATTCTCTTTACCTATGACTGTATTTTTGTGCAGCTTATTTATTTGTTTCTTAGATCTATTTTGTCTGGTATAAGTATTGCTACCCCAGCTTTTGCTTATTTTTTTCCATTTTCATGAAATATCTTTTCCATCCCTTTACTTTGAGTCTCTGTGTGTTTGTCTATCTGAAGTTAGTCTCTTGTAGGCAGCATATGTAAGGATCTTGTTTTGTTATCCATTCAACTTCCGTAAGTCTTTTGGTTGGAATATTTAATCCATTTGCATTTAGAGTACTAGTTGATATATATGCATTTATTGACATTTTATTATTCATATTTCTGATTTTTGTATTTTTTTACCATTTTACATAATTAATACTGGTTTGGTGGTGATGAACTCCTTTAGCTTTTTCTTATCCAGGAAGTTTTTTATCTGTTCTTTGATTCTAAATGATAGTTTTGCTGGATAGAGTAATCTTAGTTGTAGGATTGGCTTTTCATTACTTTTAATATGTCTTGCCAATCCCTTCTGCCTGCAAAAGTTTCTACTGAGAACTGCTTTTCTCTTGCTGATTTTAAGATTCTCTTTTTGACTTCAATGTTGCATTTTAATTATGATGTGTTTTGGTGTGGGCCTCTTTGGGTTATCTTGTTTGGGACTTTCTGCTTTTCCTGGACTTGTATGTCTATATCCTTAACCATATTAGGGAAATTTTCTGTTATTATTTCTTCAGATAGGTTTTCAATCCCTTGCTCTCTCTGTTCTATTTCCTGTACCTCCATTATGCGAATGTTGGTATTCCTTAAGTTGTTTCAAACATTCTTTAATTTTTCTTATTTATTGATTTTTTTTCTTTTATCTCTTCTGATAGTGTTTTCTGCTTACTTGTCTTCCAAACCTCTGATTTGACCCCGTGTTTCATCTACTTCATTGTTTATTCCTTGTACTGTATTCTTCATTTAAGTTAGTATATTCCTCATTTCTGACTGGATCTTTTTTATGTTTGTAATCTCCATTTTTATGTTCGCTATCTCTTTGTTGAAGTTCTCACTAAGTTCATCTACTCTTCCCTAAGTTCCTTGAGCATTCTTATAACCAGCATTTTAACTCTGCATCTAGTAGATTGCTTGTCTCCTTTTTTTTAGTCTTTTTCTGAAATTTTGTTCTGTGCTTTCATTTAGGGCACATTTCATTGTCTTTTCATTTTGGCAGCCTCCCTATGTTTGTTTCTATGTATTAGGTAGAGCTGCTACATCTCCTGAGTTTGGTAGAGAGGTCTTATATAGCAAGTGTCTTGTAGGGTCCAGTGGCACAGCCTCCCCGTCCCCTGAGCTGGGCACTTCAGGGGTGCCCTTTCACCCCTTCACCCCTTCACCCCTTCACCCATTGGACTGTATAAACCCTCTTGTTGTAGTTGAGCCTTCATTACTCTTAGCATGTCAGTGGGAGAGATTTTCCCCCACACCATTTAGCTGTAAGGATTGGCTGTGACCACCATGGTGGATCAGATGTGCAGAGGCCAACCTCACAGAAGAGAACTCACTTAAGCATGTCTATGGTGCCTGCAGAATTTACTCCTTGAGTATGTCCTTAGTGGAGGTGCTTTGATATGATCTGAAGATTTCTACTAAATGTACTTGTACCAGGAGGTACAGGCCAAGGACAGTTGCTACCTGTGCCCTGCCCGGGGCCACCCGATTTGAGCTACAAAGAGATCTGCAGATGGCTGCTATTCGTTCTGGGCTTGCAGGTGCTGATATGAAGTCATGCTGTAAACCAAAGGCCAGCTAGTGCTAGTGCTGGTCCTGGTGACCCTTAGTGAGAAGTATGTGGCATGCCAAAGCCAGATGCTGCATGTTTGAGAGTTTTTAGTAAAGTCTGAACTATGAGCCAAGATAAGCCACTTGAAGGGAAAAGCTGCTAGAGTGAGGCAGTCTCAGGTAATCAACAGGGTGGATAAACTGTGAGACAGGTTGATGAAGATTCAGATATGGTACACACCTCCTGATCTGTGAAGGGAGATCCCAGAAAAGGAACAATGGCCTCTGCCAGCACTTCTATCTGGGAAAAAGTTGCCTTTCCAGCTCTGATCAGGTTGCCAGACAACTTGGTTTCTTTCCATATGTGTCTGATGCCTCAGTGCTAGAACTGAAAGTGAGTGAATCTGAATAAGTCTGTGTGGGGGCCCTTTACTAGAAATGCCTGGGACTCCACAAGCCCTCCTTTTCACTCAGCCTTCGTACCCAATGGCTTTTACAGCCACAAGTTATGGGGACTTCTCTTGCTGGGATGGGGGCTGGTGTGGACTGAGACCCCTTGCTCCTCATGAGGGACCTCTGCAGCTGAGATATCCCTCCAGTATTTATCCACCACATGTGAGTATGGGACCAGCCACTTCTGTGTCTCTGCTCCCTCTACCGGTCTCTGTAGGGCTTCTTCTTTATACCCTTACTTGTAGGATTTCTATTCAGCTAGATTTCAGGTGGTTTGAATGATGGCTGTTCTATAATTTAGTTGTGATCTTGATGTGTTTGTGAGAGGATTTGGGCACTGCAGTTACCTACACCACCATCTTGACTGGAATCTCTTCTATCTAACTTGTTTTACTTAGCATAATACTCTAGATACATCCATGTGGAAACTAAAAACAACATAAATGAATAAACAAAACAAAACAGAAACAAACTCATAGATACAGAATACACACTGATGGGTACCAGATGGAAGAAGATGGGGGAATGGAGAAACAAGGTGAAAGAAATTAAACAGTACAAATTGCCAATTATAAAATAGTCATGGTATGTAAAGAACAGCATAGGAAATATAGTCATTTTTTACTATATTAGTTGTAGGATTTATTTTTATTGTAATATTTATGGTACCAGATGGGCACTAGACTTACTGTAGTAATCACTTTGTAAGGTATGTAAATGTCTAATCACTATGCTGTATACCTAAAACTATTATAATGCTGTATGTCAACTATAATTTAAAAATAAAAACAAACAAATAAACAAAGAGCAAAAACAGAACAGAAACAAAACCCATGTTCCCTTCTACATCTTCTTCATCTAATCCAACTATTCATAGTTATTTTCCTCACATTACATGAATTATCCAACAATCTTGTGATTTTCCTCTAGGAAGGTTATAAATTGGCAATTGAATCTTTTCTTTAAACTAGCTAACATAGGAAATCATGGTTTAATAAGAAGAGTTGTCCAGCCTTGAAATGATCTTTCTCACATTGCAGTATGCTCCCCAGAAAGTAAGTATTCAAGCAAAGATTGTCTAAATAGCAGAAATGCTGTAGAGAAGAGTGTAGTGTTATAATGTAAGACCTTTAAAATTCCTGGCTTCCAAGGCACTTTTGTTTTCTTAGCTAACTTAGAGTTTCCAAAAACTACCACTTTGTTGGCCCTATCAAATTTAGACCCTTAAATATTCATAAATTATAGTGACCAGAACCCTGTTCTTTCAAGATCTTATGTCCTGATTACATGCTACACAATGTGGGGAGAAGTAGTAAGAAGAGATCATTCTCCCTGACCCTGCTCTATTGTCAGCCTGAATGACTGTGAGCCCTGATCCCCAGCTGTATGTTCACCTACAAACCTGCTTTTTGTCCCTGAACTCACACATATGTTGAATAGCTCTGGGTAAACATGGCAATGAGACCTTAAAAAAAAGTTCCATGCCTCCAGCATGTTCGTTGTTATTCCAATGTAACCCTGAAGTCCTCTTTCTCTTTTTCAGTTGTGCGAGATAAATATCCTATTCTTTTTGAAATTGTGTTTGAGTGTTTACCAATCCTGATGCATGCTAGCATCCTGCCTGTCTACTGGAAATTATGGAATAGAGGTAAGTGGAACTTGAAAAATGGGTTTTTCAGGTCATCTTTTCTCTGGTTGGTGCCCTCTTTACTAGGAGGTAATTAAATAAATCTGGGTGGCTTTTGTAGCAGCAACAGGTGAAAAAGTCAGACTTTAGGTGACATGTCAGAGTGTTCATATTCTTTTTTCTGAACTGATAAAGGTCCAGAGTTTTAGGCTGTACTGATGGCTGTATATCTGCCATCAGTACTTATGGTGATAGTTATTTGTTCACCAAGGGAAAATATATATTTCTTCAGGTATCATGAATATTCAAATTTATTCAGAATGAGTCCAGACACTCATTTACAAAACACAATTAATGATGTTGCTAACCTATAAGTTGCCTCCAAAGCTGTGATTCAAAAATATTTTTGAATTATAGATCTTCGAGAATTTAATGAAGAAATCCAAAAGCATAATTTTACTTATTTTATTTTCTATCCATTTCAATGCTATTGAAAGCTATCATTTTACCCTCTTGACCATATATTTAGATGCCATTTAGAAGTGTGATTATACTATATCATGTACCTTATTATGATAGTCTCTGAAAATTTAGCAATACCTTTTATTTATTTGTGGCCACTGAGAAGTATTTATATAGGAAAAGGACTAAGTAAGCAAAAGGACCACTTTATTATTTGTTAGGGCTTTTCCAAATCTCTATATATTTCTAAATTGGCCCCAAACAAAGTCCATTACCTATATTTGAGCCTCCAGTTACAAAACCAAGACTCAAATCTTCAGGATTATCTAGAAAGTAGTAAGAATAAGTAAGAATGTATACGATGGAATTCTTTTTCCAAAAGTATGGAAAAGACTGAATACCATAAACTGCTCTCTGAAAACAACATATGTGCTGCAACATCTATCTATCTATCTATCTATCTATCTATCTATCTATCTATCTATCATCTATCTACCATCAATCTATATTATCTACCAACCATTATTTTCAAGTTATTTTTGAGCTACTGAGAAGCATTGCTAAAGGAAAATCTTCAGACAGAGGAAAGTAATACCAGAAGGAAATGAGGACTTTAGAAATTAAGGAAGAGTAAGAGAAATGGTAAACGTCTCACTAAATCTATTAGAATAGTCTTCTCCTCTTAAAGTTCCTAAAACCCCCAAGTGGGCCATTTCTCTTCATGTTGTTCTATCATGTGGCCCTGGACACAGGGACAGACATAGGAAAAAAAACAGCAAAGTGGGTGTCTTAGTGCATTCAGGGTACCATAACAAAAGCCACAGATTGGATAGCACATAAACAGCAGAACTGACTCAATTATGACAAGAGATAAAATGGCTAAAATTATAAAAAGAAAAAGGAAATTATTAAAAATACACAATAAAATTAAAACGAAAGAAGAACGGATATATGTAGATAGAACAGAAAGGTCAAGTAAGCACAAAATAATGTTAGAGAATTGAAACATCAATAAACAAAGGGAATAAATGATCTATTGAATATTAAATACAATTATTTTCAGACAGAATATGTTAAAAATTAAAATCTAATTATGTGTTTTTGGCAAGAAAAACATTAAAGCATAAGTATAACTTATTAAGTGCAAAGTAAATGAATACATACTCAGAAAAATTTTTTAAAGTATCTTGAAATACCTCAATAATGTTTAGTTCCATGGAGTTACATATTATGATCATTGAAGATTTTAACTCTATGTTATGGAAGCTTCACAGGAGGTTATTATAATTATTGTTTTATATAGTATTATTTATTTATACTTATCTATATATTTATAATTTTAAAATTTTTTTCTTTCTGGCATGTCAGACTTTTTCAAATGTGCTGTATGTCTAATGTTACTTTTTTAAAAAATTATTTTCTATCCTGCAGATATTTTCTAGCTTGTCTCTTTTCATTTTTGAAACATACATATGTATTTTATAAGATTCTGTCTCATATTTGAAATACCTAAAATTACTTATTAACTGTTTCTGACTTCTGCTTAATGTTGTCTTTGTAGTTCTAATTATTTATTTTTTAAGTACTTTTCTTTTTTTTTTTTGTTCAAATACAATTGTCTCTACTTTTCTGCCACCTCTCCTGCCCACCCCACCCTTCCCTACACCCCACCCTTGAATCCTGCCTCCTTTGGCTTTGTCCATGGGTCCTTTATACATGTTCCTTGGCGACCTTTCCCTTTCTTTCCCCCATTATTCTCTCTCCCCCTTGTTACTGTCTGTTCTTTATTTCAATGTCTCTGGTTATACTTTGCTTGCTTATTTTGTTGATTAGGTTCCAGTTACAGGTGAGATTATGTGGTATTTGTCTTTCACTGCCTGGCTTACTTCACTTAGCATAATGCTCTCCAGTTCCATTTATGCTGTCTTGAAGGGTAGGAGCTCCTTCTTTCTCTCTGCTGTATAGCTCTAATTCTTTTCATGGATATTTAATAAGAGGCTACCATGTGCCAGGTCCATTTCTGAATGTTAGGTATTTAACAATGAGCAAAAAAAAAAAATGTAACTACCTTCTGGAGCTTACAATTTAGTGAGAATGTTTTGCATTAATGAAATGAAAACTACTGTCTCTAAATTCCATATTGGTCCTTCTGGGGTCTCATCACAATGACAGCACTTTAAAGATTTGAATTTAGTAATCAGTTTGTCCATTCGTTACTTAAGTGGATTGAATCTGAGCTCCTTCAATATCATGATCATATCCAGTGCACACTGCATATTCAGATTTTGTACTCTTCCACTGAGCTGCAATTACAAACAATGCTGTTTTATCCAGATACTCAGAGATGCAATTTCTTTTTTTTCTATGACACTTCTAGAACATTTTGCCTGTACAGCTCATAACCAAGGGTATGAGAGTGAATGAAAATGTGCTCTCAGTTGCCTATGGACACATGAGTAGATGCCTCACAGTTCTCACACTCATGGCTCAACCCAAATTCCATGCACCTCTGGCTCATGTAAACTACCAAGTCTTACCCAGTCATAAACCTGAGTTGCTTTCCAAAGTAGGCCCAGAATAAAAACAAAACAAAACAAGTAAATGAGGGCTAGGAGGCAGATTTCCCTTTGTCAGTCCTCCTTTTGCCCCCTGTTAATTGGGATACATCTTCTTTATTTTTGCATTATTTCTGGGGTGAGGGAAGGCGGGAAGTGGGCAAGTGGAGAAAAAACTAGGACATCTGTAATAGTGTAAACAAAAATAAAAATAAAGTTAATAATGAAGAATAAAATATATGATTATATATATATTTTTTTTAATTTCTCTCTCTTTTCCAGTCTCTATTTTGGATGGCTTAGCCCCATTCTATAGTAGTTGGATGTATGATATGTTTGTGATCCTGACCACACTGATCATATTTTTCACCATACTCATTTTTTCCCTATTTTATACCCTGAAAGGTAAGTGAGATAACAAGGGTAGGAATTCTAATAACGTTATCACCCAAACCTCCTCCTAAACCCATTGTATCTAAAATTTCTATTATGGGGTCAAATAAGCTCTAGAAAATATGGCATCTTGGGTTACCCACATTTCTATTCTCCATCAGCAAGTAGAACAAGGACATTTCAGGATTTACCTCATGCCTTGCTAAGTGCTCATTGCACTAAATTCCAAAATCTTTCTTCACTGATAAATGAACACAAATATGGGAATAGAGGCTTTACCACTTACATTAAAAACTCAGTGGCACCAGAGAAAGACCTCAGCCCAACTATGCCCAGCTGTTGACTAGTAATTAAATGTTGGAAGTTTGCTGCAGATTCACAAGAAAGATTCCCTTTGACATTTCAGTTGAACTTTTCCTTCAAATAAAACTTGTAATATGGTAATAAAGGTACATGTATATAGGGTGGGGTACCATCCTATTTATATCATAAATAACTCCCATGTAAGAATCAATATGAGCAACAAGAGAGAGCAGGTACAATAGCGTAAGAGCTAGAGCAACACATGCTGACTTAGTTTATACTTTCTGAATGCTGTGACTCTAAACCCTAATTAATAATCAATCACTGTACTTGTCTGGGACTAATAAATTGATGTGGTCCATTTAAGGACATGGGGGGGTTACATAGTGAGAAAAAATGGAGACTACATCTAAGCTTCATACTCTGCTCTTCTATGCCTATGAATACAATTTTTAAAGAAAATTCCACTTAATGTAACTTTACTCGTTTTGCTTGAAGTTTAATATTTCATTCCAGAGATGTTTTCCTATCATGTGGGTCATAGATACCTAAATTTTTATCTTTTTTGTAAGCATTTACTTCCATTCTAAATATTTGGAATAACAAAAGGTAAAGATATTTGGGCAGAGTTACAGAATCTGAATTCTTGCATGTCATTATTTACTATCCATTTATAACACCAACAATATTCCCAAAGGAAATGATGACTCTAGATATGAGTAAGGAAATTACCACCTCTTAGTATTAAAAACTTTCTTCAAAAAAAGTTAACTTCAATAAGTGAATACTGGTCTTACTGCTATTTAAATTTAAGTTAAGCTTCAGCTCATAAACTAAAATGGTACCAAATAACTTAGATCAGTAAGTCTAGCAGAGACTTACCCTATTGACTTGATGATTCTTATTATGAAAGAAGAATCATTCAAATAAAGCAAGCTATCAGAAAGAAAATCAGAACAAGGGAACGAAAGGTCGGACAAATGTGTGTTTGCCCCAAGAGAGGTTTATACTTAGGCTCTGCTTCTGGCCAGAGATGATAATAAAGACACAAGTACAGGGACATGTAGCGTACCATCCAAACATTGAGCAATTTTTATGTAATAGTTGCATGCCAACAGGAAAGAGCAAAATAACAGCATAACATCCAAAGAAGGGCTGTACTCATTCCAATACAGGCTATTAGACAGGGGTTTCCCTTCTGTCTGAAAAAGAATCAAATTCCAAATTGGTCATAATTTGGTGGTGTCCAAGTATCTACTAATGCCCTAAGCCCTTAAATCAGGGGTTTTCTTTTTTGAGAGGGGCCAAAGTGTGTGTCTTGTTTTGGCTTGTTTCCAAATCAAGCAATTGTACAGGTACAGGCTTCCTTTTCTAGAACTGTGATTGCCCAATAAATGAGTCATAGCTGGGATATCTGAGTTAACATTCTACTTCTAAACCATATTATTTAACTTCCTGAACAGATATATTCTAAATACCCCAGTGTGAATTTGAACTATTTCTGTCTTGAGACAGACTCTAGCCCCCTTTTCTACATAGTATACTCCACGCTTATTTTAGGCAGTTCTCAAATGTTGTGGTTTGCTGTATATTTAAGCCAATATCATTACTTTTCTATATGGTCCTTTTCACCCACCCAAAGCTTCTTAAATGACACATGTACTTTACAAAAAATGATTGTTGATACTGGTTTCTGATCTAGAATTTGACTCTACAAAACATTAATATCAAAGGCTTTTTCTTTCCCCAATTTTGTTCTGTCTAGAAAATATAAATTTTGAGCTTGATCTTCAGTGTCCTGTGAATGTCAATGAGCACCATCCTGGCCTCTGCTGTACACTCCCACCATAATTTAACTTTAATTAGACTCACACCTTCCATGTGCCTTCTGTAAGAACACTCACTGCTTTCTTCACAGATTATCAACAATTATGGATATCCAAATACTTGTCTGAAACAGAGGACACTTGAGGACAGTGGAACGGTGATATAAAACTTTGAGGAAAAGGCAATTTGGACCAAGAATCTGGACTTTTGTGTTGAACCAAATAATTGCCAATGTGTAAGAGCAAAATAAAACTACTTATAGATATTTTTTAGTCTTGGAGTATATTTGTTACATATGTGTCTTTCTTGAAAATGTACATGAGAAATTACCTAAGCTAAATGCAATTGCACCATAATTAAGATGATAAGCAAGGGGAATATCTATACATAGAAAATTGATAAGCTAAGAAGCAAATAAATGTACCATAGATGTAAATGTTTTCCTGCAATAATCCCTATGTACCATAGTCAGATATAGAAATAGACTAAAAATCACTGATTTTCAAACTGAGACTCATAGTGGATAAAATTACAAAATAGAGGATGTTTGACTTTTCACAACATATGCTGTGATGGTTAATTTTATGCATCAACTTGACTCAGCTAAAGAATGCTCAGATAACTAGTAAACCATTATTTCTGGGTGTGTCTCTGAGTGTGTAACGGGAAGAAATGACCATTTGAATCAGTAGACTGAGTGAAACAGATGGCTCTCATGTGGACAGGCATCATCTAATCCACTGAAGGTCCAAATTACACAAAAAGGTGAAGAAAGAGAAAATTCTTTTTTTTATTTTTGGATTGGGATGTCCATATTCTCCCGTCCTTGATTGAACATTAGAGCTCATGGGTCTCAAACCATTAGTCTTGAACTGGAAGCTATACCATTGGCTCTCCTTTTCCTCAGGCCTTCTGATTTGCACTGAGCTGCACCACCAGCTCTCCTGGTTCTCTAGCTTGAAGATGGCAGATTGTGAGATTTATTGTTCTCCAAAACCATATAAACCAGTTTCTATCATGAATTTTTATCTATCTATCTATCTATCTATCATCTATCTATCTATCTATCTATCTATCTATCTATCTATCTATCTATCTATCTATCATCTATCTATTGTCTATCTATTCTACTATATTAGGAAGGCAGTTTCAGTGTAAAGGCATGGAAAAATAAATACTCGAAAAATAATAGCTCTATGCCTACATTATACTAGTAATTTTTATAAAAAACATAATTGCTGACTTCTGCCAAGATGGAGGCATAGGTGGAGATACCGTGCTTTCTCACACAACCAAGTTTAGAAACAACAAAATATTAGCAACAGAAGACACAGCCAGACACATAAAATTGAACTTTTCAGAAGTCCAATAACAACGAATTCTTTAGCCTGACCGTAAGAGGGGCGAAACCAGCAGCTGGTGGAGCGGGATTGCACAGGAAAACTCGGTCAGACGGACTCTGGCACACAGATCCCAGGCGTGGGGTTGCAAAGAGCCGACCCAGTGAATGACCTAATGAACGCGACCCAGTGAGCAACCGGCGGATCCAGCGAGGGTGAAGGGCGGCAGGTTGACTGTGCTGGCACGGTTCTGCGCAGATAGACCAGCGAGGGAGTGGGCAGTGAGACGGGACTGAGCGGGTCCCAGTGATGGGAGGCAGCAGAGACGGCCGCCATTTCCTGGCTCTGATCCTGCCCCCACATATAGCGTCACAATCCAGCGTCCTGAGCAACCCTACCCTAGTGAACACCTAAGGTTTCGCTCCTCACCCAGCGGTGGGAAGCAGGAGAAGGGGACACCATTTTCCCATTCTGACCCCGCCACCACATACACTGTCACAACCTAGCGACCCCGCCCTGGAGGCCCCACCCTGCCCCTAAAGCTCTGCTCCTTATACTTAATGGGTGAGAACAGACCTAAAATGGCTCAAGTAGATCTCAAAGCCCTAGAGCCCATAAATCTAAGTAATGAAGAAATAGCAAAACTTTCCGATGCACAGTTCACAGTTCAAAACACTGGTGATCAAGATGCTCACAGAACTGGTTGATTTTAGTCACAAATTAGAGGAACATATGAAGGCTAAACTAATTGAAATGAAGGGAAATGCACAGGAAACCAATAGTGATGGAAAGGAAACTGGGACTTAAATCAAAGGAGTGGACCAGAAGGAGGATAAAAATGACCAACCAGAAAATAATGAAGAAAAAAGAATTTTAAAAAAATGAGGAGAGGCTAGGAACCTCCAGGATATCTTTAAACACTTCAACATCCAAAATATAGGGATACTAGAAGGGGGAAAGGAACAGCCACCAATGGAAAACTTATTTGAACAAATAATAAAGGAGAATTTCCCCAATCTGGCAAAGGCAATAGACTTCCAGGAAATCCAGGAAGCACAGAGAGTCCCAAAGAAGTTGGACCCAAGAAGGAACACACCAAGGCACATCATAATTATACTAGCCAAGATGAAAATGAAGGAGAGAATCCTAAAAGCAGCAGGAGATAAGGGGACAGTCACCTACAAAGGAGTTCCCATCAGACTGTCAGCAGATTTCTCAAAAGAGACTTTACAGGCAAGAAGGGGCAGGAAAGAAGTATTCCAAGTCATGAAATCCAAAAACCTACATCCAAGATTGCTCTATCCAGCAAAACTTTCATTTAGAATGGAAGGACAGATAAAGTGCTTCTCAGATAAGATCAAATTCAAGGAGTTCATCATCACCAAGCCCTTATTATATGAAATGTTAAAGGGACTTATAAGAAAAAGAAGATAGAAAAGATGAACGGTGAAAGGACAGCAAACTCACAGTTATTAACAACCACATCTAAAACAAGCTAAAAGGACAGCTAGATCAGGAGCAGAACCATAGAGATGAAGATCACATGGAGG